TTCTGTGTTTCTTTTTTTTTGTAGTTTGATGGGTTTGAAGAGGTGTCTTTGCTGGATGTAGAAGAGGAGGATGAACCACCCAAGATGCATGCAGCCTCAAAAAATAAGAAGCGGAAAGAGATCGGAGGCCAGAATAATGACAAGGTGGGCCTGGGGTATCTCACGAGTCCACACGTCCTGACTCTGAGCAAATGCATGACATGACAACAGCCTAAAAAGATGTGAAGAAAGGGGATTGAAATGTTTCCACTGTGCTTCGCTTGCTAGCAGCGTAATTGCTTTAGTTCTCTCCAGGTGTGCGCAGAGTGCCACTCGGCCCTTCTGGGCTCCCTCTGGGGTTAACCTTCCCCTGACTGTCATCTTGTGTACCATGCACGTTTGTCAGCTGGAGTATGTCTGTTTCCAGGAGGTCGAGTGGGTAGATGGGATGAAGGAATGTTCTTGTTCCTGCCATGAAGGGAGTAGCGATCTCAAGCTAAAGAAAAGCAAAAGGAGGACCTGCAGCCATTGTAGTAGTAAGGTTAGTTGATAGGCCAAGTCATTGGAGTGGTGAGTGGAAAGTAGAGTCCTGCCAAGAGTCCCCCTGTTGTGATGATCTGTCCAGCCTCGTGTCTCCAAAATAATGTGTTGAGGAAGAAAATAAATCTAAAGATGACCAGTAGTGTCTCCTTCTTGGAGCTCTGACTGCACGACCTGGCCTTTCCCCCGTCTGTCTCCTGCTCACTTTCTACTGCCCCTCCTCACTGTGCTCAACAGTGTTAGTTTTGGTGTTACTTTTGAGTTAAGCATAAGCTTTTCTAGTGGAAGATGCTTGTGTGGCCACTGTGCGAAAAGAACCGTGCCTGTTCATAACAATAAAAAAAGATTCAGCTTTCTAAATGCAAGCACATTGCCAAACTGCAGCCTTCGCTAGGGTCACGGAATGCTTTGGAAGCAAAGGGCAGAGTGTTGGCTCTGGGCTGATATACCACATCTCTGATTGTATGCCTATATATTGATTTGCAGGTGTGTGAAAGCAAATTTTACAAAAATAAAGATTCTCAAGAGCTGATTGCAAGCCTTGCTCAACAAGAATCAAGTCCTCAGCCCGAAGGGAAGGATTCTGGCATGTCTAAGGAACGTGCAGAAGAAAGCCTGGAGAACAGAGATGAGGGAGAGGATGTCCAGAGCAGAACAAAAGCCGTATGCAGGAAAGTGGACTCTCTGGCTTCAGGTACGTGAAAGTCTTGTGTACAGACAGGTATGTCATTCATCTCCAAACTGGTTCACACAAATGAAAATAGGTATAGGACTTTCTAATGCAAATTTACTGAGATAATGAGAACTGTAAACATCTTTTTTCATTTTTTTCCTTGCGTTCATCCACTCTGGACGCTCTGAACGTGCATCTATCCAGAGCATTCCCTTCAAAAAAAGCTTTCCTGACTAGAGAAATAGTCTCCCCTTTTCAGAATGATAGCTCCATTGAAGCTCCTCTTGCTAGCGTACTAATCCAATTCCCAGTACTACCAGTCCATGATACTGGTTTTGTGGTTTTTTTCCAGTTTTCATTTTAGCACAGCAGTTCACAGTCACCATCTCTCTTGTCTTCTTTTAAATTATCTCCTTCATTACTTGTTTTTTCAGTTGTCTGGTACAGACAAGGGGAAACATGATTATTGCAGGATAAACAACCTTAAAGAGATCTTGTCCTCCTTCCAGCAGCCGTGTGTCGGTTAATGCTGCGTTGGAGACAACGCAGAGGTTAAATAGAGTGGTTTCAGTGTAATGCAACCTGATGTCTGGTTTATAGTGGTGGTGTAAATAGGGTGCCGAGAGCAGCAATATGTGTTTCACTTGAGAATTTTGTTCTGGGCCGTGCACTTCAGCTTTTTCCGTGTGTTCATCACTTCTGTGCACAGCAGGTGGTTGTTGTAACCCACAGTGGTGAATAAAATTGACTGCAGAGTGCCGCCTTTGAATTAAAGGATGGGTAAACTGCAGATAGAATTACAAAGCTGCTCCCAAACTGTGTTCTCATTTACAGTATTATGCTCTAGAAAAGCAATTTTAAAAAAAAAAAAAAAAGTAATTCTGACAAACTTAAGCCTCCGGAAGTTTTTCTTACTAACAGCTAGTCTAAACTTGTTTGGGTTTCTTATCAGGATGTCACCTGGAAGGAAAGATTGCCTCTGGCAGACACACATCTTCCGAAAAAGCCGCGCTGCCCGATAACCAGGTTCAAGAAGCAGGCGTCAGTGCTGCTGTGAATGCTGCGAAGGACAGCGACTCTTCCATCACTGACCCCAGATGCACACACCTACAGAAACCTACTCTAAAACTACCTCAAGAAACCAAAGACTGCCCCTGCGCTGTGGGAAGAGAGAGCGAGGGACGAAACCAGCCGCAGCAAGGGAATGCAGATGCCTCTCTTGGGCTGAGCAGAGATCTGGTGCTGTCCTCTCCTTCTGCCACAATAAAAGATGTAACGGGACGTAGTTCCTCTTCTGGAAAGAGTTTATGTCAGACTAAAGGGCTTGCTTTGGATTCATCAGACAAGCTTGCTGTCTTTGGTCATGCTTCAAAATCAGGTGTGAAAGAATTTGAGGGACCACCTTTGCCCCTGGAAGGAAAACCTGAAGCAAAACAGGGCTGGGTAACAGCGGGTAGAAAACAAACACTGGGTAAGGGCCGCAGCGCGCAGTCCCCTGATAACTGCAGTTTGGAAACAGATGACACGGGCTGCACCGAAAATCCTCCTGAGAGCAGATTAAAGTCCAATGCAAACAACTGCTTCCAGGTGCATCCGCATTCTGAGCAGCTAGAATATAGCGTGGTGACTGCCTCCCTGGGGCAAAAGGAAGAGGAGCAGCAACAGCAGCGAGTCACGGAAGCAACTGTGTGCGCTAAGAACAGCAAAGTCAGCTCGACGGGGGAGAAGGTTGTCCTCTGGACCAGGTATATCTGCCTGAACTGCGTCTTGCATCCTTCGTGCATTCAGTGTTTGCCTTCAGCTTTCATATTATGTGGTATCCTTTATTTTGTATTCCCGTTTTCTAATGTCTTCTGCCCCCTTTGAATATTCCTGCCTTGTTTCCTCTGACCACCATCTCTCATAGCTGCCCTCGTGGTCCTATGAGAAACACTGTCTGCGCGAGGCGGGGTAATTACTGTAGCACTGCAGGCTGGGAAAGAATTTCTTTTCTCCTTCAAAAAAGCTTAAAACCAGGCTAAACGCAGCTCTGCGTTGAGCTCCGTCTTGTGATGGGTGGTGGCAGTAAAGGAACGAGTCTGCTGGACCTGCTCGGTGATTGTTACCCCGACCCGGGAAGACGTCTCTCGGGCTTGTGGTGAAGTCTGTCAGCGTTTGTTTTCGGCTGCTTTTTAACTATTGTTCTGTTTTGCAGGGAGGCTGACAGAGTCATCCTTACCACCTGCCAGGAGAAAGGAGCCCAGCTGGAAACCTTCCATGCCATCTCGCAGAAACTGGGCAACAAGACTGCCAGCGAGGTGCGGGGCGGGGGTGGGAAAGCTCGCGGCCGCTACGGTGAGAGGGAAAAGGGGTGGAAAGGAAGGAAAGGTGGAGGTTTGCTGTCATATTGGTCTCCTAACCTTAATTTAATGTTGCATCAGAGAAAAATAATCCTAATTGCAAACAGGAAAAAAACCCAAACACTAATCTGTTCCAGTGGAGCCAAAAGTCATGACTGCCACGGTCCCTTTTACGTTCCCATTGACATTTCAGCCTTATCTTTGGTGCCAGAACTGTTTCAGCAGCTGCTACTTTGGTATTCAGCCTTCTGCTTCAGCACACAAGGAATCTGTTGGGGTTTGTCTCAACCTTCCCCACAGCACTGCCTCGCAATCTTCCCAAACTGCCAGTTTCCTACCTGCAAGTCAGTAGAACGTAACTGTTCTTCCAAAGGAAACAGAACGAGCCAATGCTCTTCCATTCCTCTTTCCTTTTATGACCGAATCTTGTATAAAATGTGCTTGTGGGTTGGTGTTTTTTTTTAATGTAGAAGCACAGAACACCCTGAACATGGTAATAGGAAACTTCCATTTTGTACCACCTTTTAGGTCACTAGTCATCTTGGCTTTCCCTTGTTCTTTACAGGTATCCCACAGGTTCAGAGAACTGATGAGGCTGTTTCACACATCCTGTGATGGCAGCTCTGAAGATGAGGAGGATGCCACCAGCACCAGTAACACAGACCAGCTGTCGGATAAAGATCTTCTGCTTTCTGAGGACGAGCCTGATGACTAAGGCTTTTCTGGCCTGATAAGCTCCTGACTGCTTCAGGAGGAGACTTGTTTGCCAGTTTGCTGCTAGACAGGTGCTGTGGATAAATGAAAAATATTTGCACAGCAAAAAAGACAGCACCTTTTTTTTTTTTTTTTGGTTTTTGTTCAATTTCCTGCTACACTTCTGAAAAGCTGCGCTCACTTCTCCATCTGTCTCAAACTAAAGGAATGAGGGAGGGCGCTGGGGTGACAGCGTCCTCTAGAACCTACATGGGGAGCTTCAACAGCAACGGGACAGAAGTGATGCTTGTGGACACTGACCTCTCCCTGGTGAAGACTGGACCACCAGCCTTTGAAAAGAACATGTAAATACTGTATCATAAGATGTCTGTTTTCATGTGGAACACACACATGATTTTTTGGTAAGTTTTTCCCCTTGTGTTTGTACGTGGGAAAGTTACAATCTGCATTCTGTATTTATTGTGTGGTCTTATATCTAACAGGTGGAGCAAATTCATTTTGCAAAGTTTAAAAAAAAAAAAAAAACAACCAAAAAAACCACAAACAAACATACAAAAACAGCCCCCCCAAAAAGCAGCCTTCCTCCTTTACGACACAGCTGCAAGTAGCTGGACAACTTCAGCCAGTCTTTGTAACGGGATTTTGCTGAAATGAAAAGGAAGTAGCAGTTGGGCCATCTTTAAAGCCATTCCCTTTAAGATCACTTTCAGAATAAAGATATTCTTACTTCCGCTCTCTCTAGAAATAAAGATGAGTTAGTCTGAATCTGCTTCATCTTCAGATTCATCTGCTTCAAACCCCATTTCATAGCACTGGGACAGAGTTCTTAGCTCCTCTAAGGCCTCCTGGAAGTCATCCTGTTCAACTCCGGCGGAGAAGAAGCTGGCCCAGCGCCGCGTGTTCAGCTTCTGTACATCCTTGTACAAACCGTAGAGGAGCGTGTGCAGAAGTGGCGATGACTGCAGAGCTGCCAGAACAGGCACGCTTTCAACAGCTGCAGGGAAAAACATCTTTATTTAAATATTTTGTTTCCCTACCCTATTCTGCTTGACTTCAATGTAGCAGAGGAGTTGCTTAACACATAATTTTTGCCCTACAACCACTCAGAAGCATTTTGGTTTTTTAAAGTGATTCCCTCGTTTCCTTTGATTCCCAGTAGGGTCTACCCTACTGCCCCCACATAGAATGGTTTGGGTTGGAAGGGACCTTAAAGTCCCACCCCCTGCCCGGGGCAGGGCCACCTCCCCCCAGCCCAGGTTGCCCCAAGCCCCGTCCAACCTGGCCTTGAACACCTCCAGGGATGGGGCAGCCACAGCTTCTCGGGGCAACCTGCCCCAGGGGATCACCACCCGCACAGCCAACAATTTCTTCCCCAGATCTCACCTCAATCTCCCCTCTGTCAGTGTCAAAGCGTTCCCCCTCATCCCATGGCTCCCCTCCCCGATCCAGAGTCCCTCCCCAGCTCTCCTGGAGCCCCTTTACTCTCCCAGCCTGTCCTCCCAGCAGAGGGGCTCCAGCCCTCCCAGCATCTCCGGGGCCTCCTCTGGCCCCGCTCCACCAGGTCCATGTCTCTCCTGTGCTGAGGCCCCCGAGCTGGAGGCAGCACTGCAGGGGGGTCTCCCCAGAGCAGAGCAGAGCGCAGCAGAGGGGCACAATCCCCCCTCGCCCTGCTGGCCACGCTGCTGGGATGCAGCCCGGGATGCCGGGGGCTCGCTGGGCTGCCGGCGCACGTTGCTGACTGATGTTGAGCTTCTCATCCCCCAACACCCCCAAGTCCCTCTCCTTGGGGCCGCTCTCAATCTGTTCTCTGCCCAGTCTGGATTTGTGCTCGGGCCTTCCACAGGATTTCTTTCTGCTGCCAAGACAGTTTAAGGGGCACTTGTTACCTGTTGAGGAGTAACGGGGAGGTTTGTCCAGGAGGAAGCCTTGTCTGGTCAGAAGAGGAGAAAAAAACTGGGGGTACGGAGGTAGAGTATGACACGGCTGCTCGAGCACGTGGGATGTGCTGTAAGGAAGAAGGTGAACAGAAGTTATCCAAAACTCACTCTACCTTCAGTTTCCAGTTACTGTTCCCTGATGTGAAAAAAAAAAAGAGACTGTTACCAACCTGAATGCCCCAGGAAAGAGAGTGTGTAAGTAACGCTGCAGAGTCTGCTCCGTGCTCTCGCAAGCGTGGAGGGGAGCGGTGGGCGGCTCTCCTGGACAGCTGCTGCAAAGAAAACAAATTTTTCCAGAGGACGACTGAAAACGTCAGTGCCTCGGCTGCTTTTTACCTCTTTTGCTATAAAGTTAGTAGCATTTAACTGGCTCAACCCCCAGACTTTCTTTTCCCCCTCCATTCAGCTGACCCCCCTAACAGAAGGACTGCGAAGGACTTTGGTAAGAAGCCGCTGCTGCTGAGAGCGCCGGTGCTCCCCGGGGAACGGTGCAGTTAAAACGCCGGTTACCTGACGTGACTTTCTTTGCGAATTCCTCGTAACACAACAGACTGAGCAAAACAGCAGCCGACCTTTCGCTCCCCGCACGGAGACAAAAGCTTCCAGGGCAGGGCCTGCGGGTAGGCACGTAAAGTATCGGGGAGCGAAGAGCCGCGCAGGGCGGGGAAGGGAAGAGAAGCCCACGCAGCCACCACCTAAAAGTCGGAGAGCGGGTGACAAGTCACAACCTCGAACGCGCTCCCCGTGTCCCGTTACGCGGCTGTCGGGACGTGAAGCAGAAGAGCATCGGCTGAGGAAGAGCCGGAAGGATGCGAGGCTGCGGTTCCCTCCGCCCTCACCTTTCTCCCGCCGAAGGTGAGTGTTTCAGCGAGGTGCATCATGGAGCCCTGAGAGGAGGAGAGGCGGTACGGCGCCGTAAGGGCATCCAGCGCTGCTGCCAAAATCGCGCTGCTGTGGTAGTTCAGTGATGCCTACGGAGGGAGACAAAGCGAAGAGTTACAGCGCAAGTTAAATTCATCTGTCCCTTAAATGCTTTTTGTATATTGAACTTCAGCAATGTCGTGGTTTGAGGCAAATCGTGCTGTTATAGAGGTTGTGTTTAACTGTTATTGCGGGTTTTGGCTAAGTTGTTTGCTAACAGATGATCTGTTGACGCTTTTTCTGTCAGCAGCTTCTCAGAGCTCAGGCAAGGCTGGATTTACAGACTCTGCCTGCGGAGAATAATGCAGTAAAGCATTTTTTTTTCAGTGCCGAAATTGAAGGTAATGCACCAACGGAGAAGACCGCGAGAAAGGAAATGCGTTAATATTTTTTTTTAAGTACGAAAAAACTACGGGAATGAAAAGTTGACAGTTAAGTCTCTGCTAACAGTGGAAAAAGCAGGGAAAAAAGTTATTTTCTCCTCAGCAGATCATCGTGAAAAAACATTGCTGAAAACGCACAGCTGCAGAAAACACTTTTAGAGAGTGTAAATCTGAGAAAGCTGAAAGCCCATCACGCAGGCGGTGACGGGGGGTGACGCACTCTACAGCACACACGTACGTCATAGTTTATATAGGGAAATGTAACGGGGGGCTGTGGCTTGAGTCCCAGAGCCCCACGGAGCGAGAGGGGGCAAAAGAGCGAACTGTGACTGGAGAGACGGGCAATTCCCAGGGCTGTGTTCATCACTCTGTAAACGTTCTTCTGGGAGTCCTGGGGGGAAAAAAACCCAACCATTAGAATGAGGTCTAATCCAGACTGGGCACGAACGCGTCCCCTCCTCTTGGCTTTCCCCATTGTTTACTCACTCCCCCGTTACTCGTGACCGGAGTCAAGCCCCAGGTCAGGATTCCTTTTCCTGAATACTCATCGCAGAGCAGTTCCGTCACTTTGGCACCAACTCCTGAGAATCCATTGTGTAGATCACAGAGGACCTGAAACCCCTGTGTAAAACAACGGCAGCATCTGAGACTCTGCTTAAACTTCACCAGGGAGTTTCTTCAAAGAAACAGGAGTTCGGAGTAAGCTCTCAAACCTGGAGATAATCACACTCTTCAACATAAAAGTGCAGCCGATCTTCCAGCTCCTCTATACAGCTGGGATCCTGCAGGAGACTTTCACCTTGTCCAAAGGCTTCCAGACACCCACAGTCTCTAAGATAAAAAAAGGGGGAGGGAGCTTATTCTATCCCCTCTTTATTCTTCCTTGGGAGCAAAACCAAGATCTTGTTCTGGAGAACACATTCTGAACCAAGCGTCAAGGCCGTACCCATCGTGCATGTACTGACGGATGACATAGACGCTCTTGGGGTGCAAGCGCACGCTGAGGTAATCGGACCAGGCCTGCACGCTGCCTCCGGAGAGAACTTCCTGGGAAACGGCGAGTCGCGAAGCAGCGGGAGATGCATCTGGAATGAGACAGATGTGAAGAGCGAAGAGCTTTTTCAACTCGGAACATCCCCTGGAATAAAGAACGCTACAACAGGTTTTTTATCTCCTCCAGTTTCTTAAACCTATTTGCTGCTCTTTGACCCATCTTTCTGTAAGCGAAGAAATCTTTATCCCGTAGTTCTCCCCTCATGCTCGTTCACTGACGAGTTGTCCGGCATCAGCCTGCTGCCACAGGGCTCGTTCTGCCTTTCTAGAACCCTCTGGTCCCAGCAAGCAGCCTGGAGAAGAGGAGGCTGAGGGGAGACCTTCTCGCTCCCGACGGCTCCCTGAAAGGAGGGGGTCGCGAGGGGGGGGTCGGTCTCTGCTCCCAAGGAACAGGCGATGGGACAAGAGGAAACGGCCTCAAGTTGCGCCAGGGGAGGTTTAGGATGGAGATGAGGAGAAAGTTCTCCACCAAAAGGGTTGTCCAGCACTGGAACAGGCTGCCCAGGGGTGGAGTCGCCATTTAACCACCCTGGAGGTGTTTAGAAGACGGGCAACCGCGGTGCTGAGGGACACGGGTTGGTGGTGGGTTGGGCGGCGCTGGGTGAACGGCTGGACTCGATGATCGTACAGGTCTTTTCCAACCTAGACGATTCTGTGATTCTAATTAAACCAACACCACCGCGACCGCACAAACTGCACAAAACACAACCGGTAAAGCCCAGAAAACGCCGACGCACCTCCAACCGCAGAACCGGAACTTCCCTTCCCATCCGAGGAAGCGTCTTCCTGAGGAAAAAAAGCCCGGGTACGGCCGTTACTCGACGCTTCGCCTCATCCTTCCCCGGACGGGCCGGT